CACTGTCCCCGCTTTACAGCGGACGGAGGAGGACCTGAGTCGGTGACTGTGCCCAGCGCTCAGAGCGAGGGTGGCAGAGGCAGTGTCCTCAGAGCTCAGGCGTCTGGGCCCTCTGGCCCCTCGGTGCAGAGGAGCTGGGAGCTTAAACAGGGACATGGTGGGGGGATGGGGAAGGGAGGGCGGAAGAGTTGGGGCGGGGAAAGAGTGGATGCTTATCTCTAAAGAATAAACTAACCTGCTTCAAATCTGACCTGAACTCCCCGGGCTGTGGTTGCCACTGGGAGACGCCTGGAGTGACGCTCTGGCGCCCACAGAGACTGGGAGACGGGGCCCTGTCCTCCTGATGGTCGCATCGCAGAGGGGCTCCAGGGCCCGGGCTGTGAAACCGGCAGAGGGGAAGGCTTCCCTGCATCTCTGAGGGAGTCACAGGTTCAAGTCGAGTCGGGGGGGGGGGGGGGGGGGGGGGGAAGCCTGCCTAAGGTCACCAAATGGAGGGCAGCCGTAGGGCCGTCTGGGTCAGAGTCTGGAAATTTCCAGACGGTTTAAAGAGAAGACGCTTTGGAACTGGTGGGCCGTCGGCTGGCCACGGTGGACGGGATCAGTCCAGCGGTGAGACCACAAAGTGGTTTCATGAAATTAATGTGACTTCTGCCATCTTCCTACTGGTTTCTCATAACTGTCCAACAATCACATAATAACCAGTAAGTCAATTAAAAAATAACCAAAACACAGAACACAAAGTGGGACCTTCCTCTCTTGACGCCGCCTGACCATCTGCTGAGGACCTCCTTTCCCAACATCCAGCTTGGAAAGGTGAGCTGAGGTCAGGCCCCGCCAGGCCTAGGCTCCCCCGTTCCTGGAGAAAATAAGGAGAACCGCGCTGGTCTGACCTCCATAGACGGCCCCCCTTACCTCTCCCCCCTGAGAATGCGAAGGCACCCCAACTTCCCAGTGTCCTTGATCACATTCCTAATGCAGCTCTCACCCTTGCTGGGAGCCCACCTTAACAGAACCCCAACTTCTCTCAAGCACTAGCCCAGAGCCCCAAACATGAGAAACAACTTTCTGTGAAGTAGAAACAAAGCCTTCACTCTCCGGTTACCGACTTTTTCCCCCCGTCGATAGACACACAAACGGACCTTCACTTAGTTAAAAAATTGTTTGAATCCATTTTTTAAAAAACACTTTCATAAGTATCCAACCACTAACGAGACACTCTCAGATATGTCACAAATGTGCGTCTGATCATTTGTTTCATGCCATCGTTAATGCAAGTGTACTTTTTATGAAATTTCTCAATCTATTTATGGTTTTTAATTTTCTAAGTCATTAACATTCACATGTGGATTCTCACTGCACTTCTGGGTGAAAACGTTTCATGGAAAAAAACCCACACATTTTACTGAAAGCAGCACATTTGTCACGGGCTGAATGAGGCAGACGTATGAAATACAAGCCCTAGTAATGGCACCATCCACACTCTCCACCATAGGGGTAACTATCCAGCACGGGCCTCCTTTTCTGAAAACGGAAATGCAGGTGGGATCAGCATAAGGAATGGGCTTCATTTTCATGTTTATTGACTAAAGAAAGTGGCAGATTCTTTTAGGAAGGGCGCTGGTGTCCAGGATTCACCTGACAGAAGGTGAGGGGGACTGAATCCTACGCAATCAGGACCCGCCCTGGTCCTGGGCGCTCTGACTGCAGGAAGCTCTGCTTTGGCCCAAAAGCCCTTCCGAAGCTTGAGAAGCGAGCCACGCAGCTTCCTTCTGGCCAGGCCTGAGGGCAAAGAGGTGAACGTGAATGAGGTAACTTCAAAATTATTGCTTAAAAATAGGATATGGGCAATCTCAATGCCCAGTTGGAGAAGACGCAAAATCTCTGTATTTCCCACGTGAGTTGAACAAGATAACACAGACGTTTCCCCTGGGTGTATTGAAATATGACTGACGTATAACATTGCATGAGTTTCAGATGTAGGATGATTTGACACGTGTGTCTACTGTAAAACGGTGACCCCGCCATAGCCTCAAATCACATAGTTACTCTTTCTTTTTCGTGGTGAGGACATTTGAGATTTGATCTCTTAGCAACTTTCCAGTATACAATGGAGTATGATTAACTATAGTCGCCAGGCCGTGCGTGAGACCCCCAGAACTTACTCATCTTGTAACTGGAGGCTTCTGCCCTTTGACCAACATCTCCCCATTCACCCCCCAGCCCCTGGTAACCACCATCCTGCTCTCTGTTGCTGAGTTCAGCTTCTTTAAATTTCACGTGGGAGATCATTCAGTGTGTGTCTTTATCTGCCTGGCTCTTTCATTGAGCACAACGCCCTGGACATCCATCCATGTCGTTGCAAATGGCAACATTTTATTCTCTTTTATGGCTGAGCAGTATTCCACTGTGTGTGTGTGTGTGTGTGTGTGTGTGTGTGTTCACAAATATGCATCACATCTTCCTTCTCCACTCACCCTTGATGGGCACCCAGGTTGCTGCCATGTCTTGTCTATTGTGAATAACGCTGCAGGGAGCATGGAGGTGCAGGTATCTCTTCAAGACAGTGATTTCACTCCCTTTGAACGTACACCCAGAAGCAGTGACATATTCTTTGGGTGATAAGCAGCTAGTAGGAATGTTTAAGCTACAAAACAATGTTTCGGTCTGTGGTCCCCTTAGTAGGTCCTGTCTCAGCTCTGGAAGCTGACGTCTGGTAACATCATCAGTTTGGTAAAGCGTCATTTTTACAAATGCCGAGTCACACTTCAATCCTTTACGTTCCCACCTGCTCAACCTGTTCTCCTCCCAGATGAAGTCTTCTTCCATGGTTGATTCATATGCATTTATACCTAACAATTCTCATGAGATGGCCAGAGAGCTAGACATTTTTAACTGATGGTTGATTTCTTTAGAAGCCCCCATTCCACCCTCACCTACCACATTTCATAATCATATGAATCTGAAATTCACTCTTTCTATAACTGAGCTATCCGAATGCATGTCACACTCACTCGTAAAAGGCATCATTTCCCTCCATTTTTGTAGATACAAGAAAACAAGACTTAAAATAATCCAAGTGTGTGTGTGGGGGTGGTGGTGGGTGGGATGAACTGGGAGATTGGGATTGACATGTATACACCAATATGTATAAAATAGGTAACTAATAAGAACCCGCTGTATAAAAAAACGTATACCATTTATGATACGATCGCAAAAAAAAAGAAAAGGTACATGGGAGGGTATTTTCATCTGTCTTTGTGTCTGATTATATTTTTAGTAAACCTTTATTCTACCTTAAAAAAAAAAGAGTACCTTATGCTATGATAATTAAATATTATGTTTTCCAAAAAAAAAGAATCCAAATGACTTGCCCGTAATAAAAAGCCGGCTGTTCGCTGAGCTGGAACTCGGTGCTGGACCTGGGCTCCAAGCACTGCGTTTCTGCAAGGAGTCGTCCTTATCAAGGCCTGAGGTCGTGAAACAGAGGCAGATGTGTCTCATCACGAGCTTTCATACCGAGGCAGGAGTGAACATGAAGCCACATGTGAACTTGACACCTGCGGTATTAGGGGACAAAGGTCACCGCAAACTTCAAATGACCCGGAGGAAAGTCCTCACAAGATTCCAGCCGGCGGATGCTGAGAGGTCGGAGGAGGTACGGGTGACATCCAGACAAAAATCCCCAGAAAGGGGACTCCCCACACCAGGTGCCAAACACAGAACATGGTGTTCAAGCTGAATCTGGACAATTTAGGAATAAGAAAAAATAAGGACAGTAAAATATTACAATCCACTGAATAAAACAGGAACCCGTAGGTCCAATCTGAGGGTGATAGATAAATACAGACATAAACACAACACATAAACCCACGCCTGACGGGGAGGGGACCCTTGCTCAGAGCCGGATGCTGAGTAAGAAGCCTGGAGGGTGCAGCTGTCGGAAGCAACACCCTCCTCAACCATCGGAACGAAGATGGATTCAGACGAGACTTATCAGTGGGCGCTAAAATCGGGTGGGGAAGCGCCGAGGAGCGGGGTGTTTACATGGTCCTAAAGTGCCCCCGCAGATGGTGGCCTGTGAGCCGCACGGGGACACAGAGCGGCTGCCCCGGGTCGCACGTTGGAATTCAACTTCCAGTGAAGGACGGCGGGATATTGTGCTTCTGGACGTGCCCCCCGGGGAGACCACCGCACCCTGTGGTAGCGGGCTGGCTGATTTTGTGTGTCACCTGGGCAGGGCTGAGGGATACCCAGAGAGCTGGGAAAACAGTGTTTCTGGGCGTGTCTGTGAGGTCGTGTGTCTGGACGAGATCAGCGTCTGAACCTGCAAGACTGAGTGAAGGCCATCCTCCCCAGTGTGTGCGGCCTCATCCAATCCACTGAGAGCCCGGACAGAACAAAGAAGCCGGGAAAGGGAATTCGACGTCGGTCTGCGCCCGCCCTCGACTTCGGAGCGCCTTTTTCTCAGGTTCTGAACTCAGACCAGGAACCCCATCCGCCCCAGATTCTCAGGGCTTGGGACCCAGAGGGAATTTTACCACGGCTAAACAGAAATGACTACTTAAACTAAAAAATAAGCAAGTTCTTTCTAACTCAATAAAGGTCAAATATAGAGAAATCTGCCTGGGTCTACCCTTGCCAACGATGTTCTCAGAAACACTGGTGGGCTTTGCAGTAATAAGAAACTCAGCTAAAGGTCACCTGTGCAACAGAAGAGGTCAAAATGATTTTAAAAATTCGTATCGAGACTCACAGAAGCCTGCTCAGCTGGCTGGCATTATGAGGGACGTACTTACATTTCAGGATTTCTTTGATTACCTTAGGAAAATATAATCCAATGTCACAGAGTTTGGATTGGCCTTAATGACACAGAGAGAGAATATTCTGGACTCTCAAAGCTTTCTCTGTTACGGAGCAATATGTTTAATACAAAACTAAAATACAGAGATAGGATTTTTACGCCAGAGGAATTTCAGCCTCTTTCCAAAAAAAGGGGAAAAGTTCAAAGAAAGGATATGTTCATCCCACACATTTTTAAATCTTCACCAAGAGATCTTCTGTAAACAGCCAAGTTTCACTTTTCCCCCCATGACCACTACTGTGGTTGTTTCAAATGAGTTTTCTTCTCTTCAAAATGCCTTAATTAACACACTCAAAAAGGATGCGGCCATCTATGTATTGTGTTTTCCTGACAGAGATTTTACATCCAGTGGACATTTCTAAGCCCGCATGAGACGTAACCTTCCCAGTCCAGTAGCCTCGGGCCCAAGTCCTAACGGGGAAGCTGCTGGGGATAGCGGGCTGTGCTGGGAGTCTGGTCCCCGCCCCAGGCTCCCGGCTTGGGGTGCATCACCTGCTTGCTCCAACTGTGAAGCTGCACCGTGACCCGTAATTAAACAAGCCAGAGGGGAGCAGGCAGATGTGCTGGGGACGCGATGGTACAGGAGAGACACCGCAAGTTGCCTTTTAAAGTTTTATTCACCTGAAGCAAGAGAGAGCTGAGAGTATGGAGGCACACACGCTATCCCACCAGATTTCAGAGCCCCTAGGCCTGAGGGCACTAGAGGGCACGACCCCAGCGCAACGTCAGCTCACCTCCAACCCACCCCGTCCAGCGCCTGCAGACACAGTGGTGCAGCCTCCCGGAAAACATCCACGTTTCAGCTTAGAAGGACAGAAACCCCTAATCGCCAAACATGAAGACTAAAACCGTAACGCACGATTGACTATCAAGCCACGCTGGACGCCGCGGGCCCTTGTCACCTGCTGGGAACAAGCACCCGTGCCGTCTGTCTCCTGGGCCGCCCCTCACTGGGTGGGCGAGGACGCGGACGCGGGGATGAGCTTGGGCTTGGCCTGCTGGGGCAGCACCACGTCGGGGATCTTCTCCCCGTGCTTGTATACGCTGACCGTCACGTCGATCTTTTCGCCCCCGTACTTGTTCTTGACATGGATGCTGTACTTGCCCGAGTCCTCGGAGGTCACGCCCTTGATGGTCATGCTGACATACTTGGCCTGCTCCACCTTGACCAAGAAGTGGTCGCTCAGCTCGATGTCCCTGTCGTTCTTGAACCACATCACGTCCGGGTCCGGGTTCCCGAACACCGTGCAGGTCAGGTTCAAGGTCTTGGGGGGAGGGTGGGCAGAGAGGGGAGAGTTAGAGAAAGAAAAGCCTGGCGGCCTCCGAGCAGCCTGGGCCCTCCACCCACTCAGCTATTGATCTGCCCTTCAGGACATTTATTTAGTCAACACGCTCTTTATGTATGTAGGCACCACACTAGACACCAGGGATCCAAAAAGAGCAGGAAGTTCACAACTTCCTGGGGCAGCTGGAGAGAAAACTCAAAGGTAACCTTTTCTATTTATTCCCAGATCTAATCCATGTGTAAGTTGATTAAAGAATTTGAAGGCAATCAAGCTCTGGGTTTTTCAGTAGATATTTTTAGCCTGGTTCTAAATTTCCTTTATATTCAGACTCATGGGTTCCCTTTACCAGTTCTTCTGGCAAATCCAGAGACTGCATTGTCTTATGATAAACTGCATTGTGGACACTTAGCAAAGCATGCTTTCGGTCCAGGATAAAGTAAAAACTAGTGCTAAACCCTCAATCCATGACCTGCAGGTACAGCTCGCCAGGTTTCCCTCAGCTGCTAACGAAAAGGGCTCTACATTTTCGTGTTTTGGCCTAATAAAAATTCTCTCAAGTAGCTATGTCCCCGTGACACTGAGATGGAATCACTCAAGCACCCAGAGAAGTACCAATTAGATATCAGTAATTCCAGTGACAGGTGACCAATGATAACTCCAATAAATGGTTTCCCTTATACACCCCAAATGACCTTGACAACTGGAGCGGAGATTGCTCTTTTTATTTCACACGTGACAAGGCGGCTCCCACCTTCACACGAGGCGGGTGGGTCGTGTGGGCGAGGGTGTGGGTGGGGCCCGCCTGCCCCTTCATTCACGCCCTCGACCGGCCCCCGGGGACCCGTGGCTTCAGAGCCAGGTGGACACCGGGGCTGGAAACACCGGGTGTCACAAACACACCATGTAATGTATCTCCCCACGGTGGGAAAGGTGCTCTGTGTGCATTCGGAGGGTTAGACTATTCCCTCCTTTGAGGACACAAGTTTCCCAGAGGCAGCCTGGGCCCAGCAGGACCCAGGACGCCCCCCTCCACACCGGCTGCTGGCACTGGGCCTGCCGTGGGGACCCCCCGCTTCGGCCGCCCTCCCTGGGCACCCCGTTGCCTGCCTTCACCTTTCCCTCCATTATGGTCACCACGTCGGGTAAGCCGCCGAGCACCTTGCCGCGATCTGCAAGAGCAAAGCGACTCTGCTGAGAAAACCGTCCACGGGGACGATCCTGGGGGTCGGGCCCTGGGCTGAGCACCGAGGCGCACAACAACAACAGGAGCTGGGAGGAGAGCGCTGGCCCGGGAGAGGACACAGGGCAAGGCACACCGTAGCGGGGACCCGTGCTAAGGTGCAGGGTGGGAGCAGAGGGTAAGTGACTCTGAGCACGAGGGTCATGAAACGGTCGAGAGGAAACGTGGCCGTGAGCCAGGCATGAGGAGGAAAGTCTCACCAGGGGCTCAACACAGGGCAAGCCCCGTCCTTCTGTAATTTAGTCGGGAACTGGGGGCCTAGCCTCTAGAGAGGGGATTTTGCAGGGGGATGTATTGCAGGTATATTTTCATTTTCTGTCTACTGTGATGCTCTGACATCGTAAGTCCCGCCTGGCTGGGCAGAGACAACCCCCCGCCAGCCAAGGGCCCAGCCAGGAGCCCGCCTGGGACCTATGCCGACAGCCCGGCCAGGCCCGGCCTCCTCCGCCTGCCCCGCCCCCGGGGAGGTGGCCCTCCTCTGCCCGAAACACCCGGGCCGGGTGCCCGGAGGCTCGGGGCAGCCCTGTCGCCCAAAGCCCGGCAAAATCACTAAAAGCAGCCAATCGTACATGTTCCCTCCGCCCCGCCTGCCTTTCCTCTGGAAACCCCAGTAAAGGCCGTGGCCTCAGTCTTCCCTCCGTCCTGTCCTCTGCCCCCTGACCCCCTGGCCATCCTCCCACGTGCCCGGAGTGGCCCTGCCTCTAGGACCCGAGAGCCCAACAAACCGTCCTTCCTGGGCCTGTCCTGAGCCTCCTCCGGCGGCCGCTCCTGACTGACCAGCTCGTGAAAGGACACAGAACAGGTGGTGGAAGGTGAAGGCAGAAAGGAGGCCGGGGGGGCGGGGGGGGAGGGCGTGGCGGAGCTGGAAGGCGGGCTGTGGGGAAGCTGGGGATGAACAGCTGAGAGCAGCAGGGGCTGTGGACAGTCCTGAGGGTTTCCAAGCGGGCAACAGGGTTTGCTGTCTATTATTTAATGCACAAAATGAACACCCTTAAGTACAGACCCTCTGCCCCACCCAAAATAATATTTTGTGCTTGTTATAATCGAACATGTACTTACTTTTCTCTGCAAAAGCAGCTGCCCTGGAAATTAAAGGGGGGCAGAGAACAGAGAATAAAAGAGTCATGAGCAAATGCTATCAACCAAAAGCATCACACATTTCAGAGGTTTCTTAGAGATGAAAGCAAAATGAACAAGGAAACGTGTTTGCTTCTCCTAGAAGAACACATTCGGGTCACAGGGTCTGAGGACGCGTATGTATGTACTTTTCCTGCCATTTCCCACTGCCCTGTCTTCCAGCTGATAAAACTCACAGAAAAGTTTCTTTTTTCGCCAGATTACATTGGAGATTTTTAGATATTTTTGAAAATGTTGGTATTTGATTTACCTAAATCGTCCATTCATCCATTCAACAAATATTAACTGAATAACCTAGTATGAGACAAAGACTGTTCTCCGTGTCGGATGCTCTAAACTTTACACACATGTTTAGAAATCCCCAGTTATTCTTTAAAAAGTTGATCTAAACACTGGGATATTGTTCAGCTAAAAAGAAATGATAATTTTCTGTACCTTCCTCTCAATTTTGCTGTGAACCTAAAACTGCCCTAGAAATATAAAGTCTTAAAAAAGAACCTAAATATATAACATTAAAAAATTGCTCTGTGTGATGTGTTGCTATAATTATGCCTATTTCAGAAATTCAGCATTTAAATTCATTTAAATTAACCCAGGGTTGGGCTTCCCTGGTGGCGCAGTGGTTGAGAGTCAGCCTGCCGATGCAGGGGACGCGGGTTCGTGCCCCGGTCCGGGAGGATCCCACATGCCGCGGAGCGGCTGGGCCCGTGAGCCATGGCCGCTGAGCCTGTGCGTCCGGAGCCTGTGCTCCGCAACGGGAGAGGCCACAACAGTGAGAGGCCCGCGTACCACAAAAAACAAACAAACAAAAAACAACCCCAGGGTTATTATAACTCTAAAATTAATTGATAGATGCATTTACAGTTTAGAAGAATGCCTTCTTCTAAACACGGAATGGCTTAAATTGTTATTTTTAATCCCAGTTCCTAGGAAGATCACATTCCTTGGGTGAGCTAGGCGTCCACAGATGTTCCCACACTCGGCCAAGATGACACCACGTCATCTGGAACCCAGACGGAAACATAATAGCCAAGCATGCAAATCTTACTTGAGCTGCTGGAATTCGGCAAACGCTTCATCAAAAGCTGCAAGGAAATATTTTGTACATTAGTAACCGTTTGAACGTGCTCGGCTTTTACTCATTCCCTTAGCTGCTCTGCTCGTGACTTGTTTGCTTAATGACACAGCCAAATGAATAAAGTAATGTTCTCTGAATGAAAGTGGTAAAATCAGATAGCTTCCCTCTCAGCATCCTTGATCACTAAGCTAATCCCTAAGTACAAAATTACTAGGTGCTAAAGAATAATGATCTTACCTTGACCGGACAGGTCAAGTGACCGTTGATGGGTATCTTGGCCGTCAAAAATCTCGAAGGTGTATTTCCCTTTATCCTTCTCGGTGGGCTCGCAGATCTTCAGCCAGGCCATCTCCTCACTCCCACCAACTCTCATGTGCTCACCTGATGCAATCTTAGCATCCCTTTGAAAAAGTCACAGGGACATACTCAATTTAGAATCTCATATTATATGCACAATACCTGTGGGGCAATATTACACATCTTTCAGGGAGAGCCTCCTCTAACTGGCTGGAGCTGGTGTCATCATAGATTTTTCTGGATATTATACATTTACTAACTACATCAGCAGCTCAGCCCTGAAAACCTTCTGAAATTAAATCTGATACTTAGTTTTTAAAGATACCTTGTGGTTTAACATATGCTTATTGGTAATAGGTAATAGACTCAAATACTCTAGACTGTATGGCATTTTTCTGCTCAAAAAGTTAAAAATAGAGTCACCATGTGATCCAGTGGATGCACACCCAAAAGAATTGACGGCAGGGGCTCGAACAAATATTCGTACACTCATGTTCATAACAGCGCGACTCACAGTAGCCAAAAGGTAGAAACAACCCAAGTGTCCATCGACAGGTGATGGATAAACCAACTGTGGTCCACCCGTATAACAGAATATTATTCAGCCTTAAAAAGGGAGGAAATTCTGACACCTGCTACAACACGGACGGGCCTGGAGGACATTATGCTGAGTGAAAGAATCCAGTCACAGAAGGAGAATGACCGCGGCATGGGCTCAGCCAGGACGAGGGGTGAACGCTGCACTAGAGGGGGAGTCCACCAAACGCCAAACCACACGCAACCCGCTGGGCGCCCTTCTCAGAGCCCTAACCCCACCTGGGCTCTAGCGCAGGAGCCCACGGCCCCCTGAGCCAGCATGTGCACCGCCTGGCGCGTGACCCTGAGCTCAGCTCCAGAAAGGAGCCACCCGCCTTCCATCCTAAGCCCTGACCTGAGTTCTGACCCTGCCTCTGTCACAGTCCCGACACCTTGCTGGACTGGGCACAAATGCTGTTCCCAGACACCATGTGAAGCCACCCGCCAGCAGAGGGCCGGCAGCAGACACCCCCCCCCCACCTGGCTCCCCCTCCCAGCTCAGAGCCCCCAGCCTGGCTCCACCCCTGGGGTGAATTCCAGAACCCTCCCTGATCAGCAGTCCCACCCTCACCCTACACCCGCTAAGGCTGGCTTCTGCTGAATTAGCCAACTTATAAGAAGGCAAACAAGTCCTGGTAGCAAAGCACAGCTGCTGGCTGCACTGAATTTGTTATCACTGTTACCCCCTAGACAGTGACTTTGGCTCGAAGGACTATTTGTTTGTTATTGTTTTGGGACTTAAATGGGCCAAGTGGATAAAACCTCTTCCTTCGTTTTATTATTGGATCACAAAACATGCCCAAATCCCTTCACTCCCAACTAAATTTAAAACATCTTACGTTAAGGTAAGAAAGAGGAGGATGGAAGAAAGCCTAGGTGTGTCTGCTCGTTTGTGCGAAAGAAACCCAGGAGATGGGTCCCTGCAGGGTGTGGGGAGGGGCTGGAGGAGAGGGTGGGGAGGGGTGGTGGGCGCACCTGCGCGGCAGCCCCGCATCTCCCCTCCCGCAGGGAGCTCCAGGCTTCACTGAGATTTTAGGGGCCTCTGCATGTGAAATTTCCTGGTTGAATTAAAATCCAAAGCGTTTTCTTCTATAAAGAGGCCACGCGGCATCTTCAGTGGCTGTGATGCTTCTAAGTCTTCAGCGGTCCATACTTAGCAATTGGAGGTCTAGCCCTTTCTCGATGACAGAGTAATTTCACCTTCGAGCAAGAGAACAAAATCCTTTTGCGAAGGGATCTGCTGAGTTCCCCTTCGTATGCTTCTAACTCGTTTGAGATAGGTTTCAGCATTTCTTCTAAGTGGCCCTCGATGTCTTACTCAGCATTTCGTCAAAGAACAATCGGCCTTGCTGACGCCCACATTTCCCCAAATCCTCACCATTCTCTACTGATTTCTCGCCACCCACTGGCACAGAATGTTCAGGTCCACAGCTCGAGTCTCCCTTGGGCGTCCCTGACTCTGTTAGGTGGGCCATTTAGCATCCAGCAGCACATTGTATTTCTTTCTTTTTTAAAAAATAAATTTCATTATTTATTTCATTATTTATTTATTTTTGGCTGTGTTGGGTCCTCGTTGCTGCACGCGGGCTTTCTCTAGCTGCGGCGAGCGGGGGCTACTCTTTGTTGTGGTGCACAGGCTTCTCCTTGCGGTGGCTTCTCTTGTTGTGGAGCACGGGTTCTAGGCACGTGGGCTTCAGTAGTTGTGGCACGCGGGCTTCAGTAGTTGTGGCACACAGGCTCAGTAGTTGTGGCTCCCGGGCTCTAGAGCGCAGGTTCAGTAGCTGTGGTGCACGGGCTCAGCCACTCCGCGGCATGTGGGATCTTCCCGGACCAGGGCTCGAACCCGTGTCCCCTGCATTGGCAGGCGGATTCTTAACCGCTGTGCCACCAGGGAGTTCCCGCAGATTGTTATTTCGACAAATGTGTTACATTATTCTCTATTTTTCCAAGTACTGCCTCACAAGAACTTACTTAATAGTCAAATAGTAAAAAGTAACCAAGGTTATAGCTCGGTGACAGAATATAACTATAAAATAAAGTTTAACATAGCATTGAATACTATGTAATAGTCAAGTAGTAAAAAATAACTAAAGGTTATATTTTAGTTATTAAAGAACTGAAGAAATACTTGTGTTGATTCTGCTTGGAGAAGAGAAGGCATGGCAACAACCACGCTCAGGAGTCCGTGGAAATCTGCCACACGACCGTGAGCTCTGTTGGTCTCTAGGGATGGTTTCTTCTGATACAACTTTTTTGACGAGGCAGACGTGTGATCCGAGCCCTTATCTCTCAGTCCGTCTGTCGGCCTGCAATCAGTCCCCTCCTTTCAGCTGGATGGCCCTCAGCACCGTAGTGGCCAGAATCAGACCAACTAGTGTTCGATCCCTGCTCTTTCACTTACTAGTTGTGTGACTTTGAACAAATGATTTATCTTCCGCTTGCAAAACCTCAGTTTTCACATCTATAAAATGTGAGTATTAACACCAAGCTCATGGGGCTTTTGTGAGGGTTAAATGAAATCATGGGTGTGACGTGTATAACACACGGTAACACAACATACGTGTACCCGCGTGCCTGGGGACGTGTTCCCGCGGGATGTGGCATGTATTTAAACTCTGCACACCCGGCACCCAGCACAGAGCGAGCCGTGCCCTGGGAGGCAAAGCTGGAGAAGCAGCGGCCTCCTGCAGGGGACAGACGCGTTTACCAGGGAAGATAGACCCTTATCACAGCTGCACACAACTTACTGAAAGATGATAGGCTGTAAATAACAAAGAAGCCCAGAGAAGGAAGTGATTCATTCTCCATTTCCAGGAGAAGGTCCGATTCAGCTAGAAATAGACATTTACTCATTGGTTTTAAAATATATATCCTTATCAACAATTACATCACAAAACTACACCAGAGTTTCAATCTTCAAAGCTCCTGTTATTGGAATCCTCTAGAAAAAGCCACTTCCCCACAAACCCCTTAGTATGGGATCTGCAGTGACTGCACCCGATACAGATCTCCATACTAACTACCAAAAACAGAGATGCAGGATTCCAAACACAGATGCACTAAGACGTCAGTACATCTTCTTAGTTTATGCTTCTGATCATAACTAACAGCTAAGACAAAAGCATAGCACGTCAAAATGTAAATAGGGAAAAGATATCCCAAGACATTTATCCATTCAGCACTTCGGTTTACTCACGAATAGATTTACCTCAATAATGCTTTTACAAGTAAAGTAGTCATAAGCATGAAGTTTGCCTTTTGAAATGTTAATTAGGGAAAATAACATCTAAAGGCACGATGTGGACGCTCTGAGGTCCCAGTCCATGGAGGAGCAGATGACTTTGGTATATGGACATCACTGAAAACTTGGCCTGCAAGTGTTGCCCATGTCCTCAGGTTAGAGACAGACACCACGGTCCCCGCTCCATCCGCCCCCTCTGACGGGGTGCATTAGAGATAACCCTGGGGGGATGGTCGGAAGGGCAGACCCCCAGGGGCTGGGGGCAGGCACTTGTCCACACGCTGTGACCATAATGAGAGTCTCCAGTGTTTTAGTAGCGAACATGCCCACCTGGACAGGCAACCAGCAGCAGACATGAAATACAGAGAAAACCTGCTGTTTGTACAGGGTTTCATCCCTCTCGCTTTCTTCTTTTACGTACAATTAAGTTTGTTTTGGTCCTTTTCTCTTTAATCAATCTAGTGAGAAACCAACAGACTGGAAATCTGGAGCACCTTTTCCAAATATTATTTTTCTATTAGCTCTGCTGGATTCCAGACAAAATGTGTGTCAACAGTAATTATCTTTCTCCTTCTCCACCCCCCACCCCCTGCCCCCCCAGTTTCTGTGATGGTCCCACCCCGAGCCCAAGGCTGTCATCATTTCTCAAAACTACAAAGTCTTGAGCAGACTTGGCTATGAACACATGTCCCAGCTGTAAGCCCTGGGCACCGCCCCATGGATGGCATGGCCACAGTCCACAGCACATGGACACTTACTTGTGGTACCAGTTCACTTTCATTTCTTCGGTGAAATATTTCATGAAACACTGAAGTCTTATTTCTTCTGCGGTGCAGAGTATCTTCAGTGGAGAAGCAGAGGCTCCTGCAGAAAATAAAACATACTCAGATCTGAGGAAAGCAGTCTGTGCTGTGTGAGGATGGACAAGCCCTGTGGCCAGGTTACATCCTGCTGTAAATGCATCCTCACGCATATATTCTAACATCCGTCAGCCACAAATCCTTACAATTTGCCCAGGCCATGTTCATTCATTAAATAAGCTTTTGCCACACCAAAATTATCTGAAAATCTCTTTGACAATAGCATCAAGGAGCTCAAATGGCCCCAAGAAAATATTCCCTAAGGGCACTTCTCACATCCCTGACCACTTCCATCCAGTCATTACCACAGGAATCAACTTATAAATTAGACCACACACAAGCTTCCCACATAGATGAGATTCCAAACTGATGGGGTCTGCCCTGTCTGCAAGATTGCACCCACCTTCTTGCATCTCCCCACTCCTTCTTCCTTGCATTTGCTAAAATAACCTTTCCCCTGAAGGGAATGGAGCCTCTAGGCACTCAATCCCCTATAGAACTTTCTGGAAAATCCATGTAAATGATGCAGGGATGGGAATCCCCTCATGGACCTCCGTGGCTGGAGCCCGTCTAGCTGAATGCCCCACCTCCGTGGCCTCTGGCGTCCTCTTTCTCTCTACTCCTGCCCAGAGAGAAAGGCAGAAAATGATTTTTCCAAACCCATTCCTCCGCTTTGCTTCTCCCTACATGGGGGAGAGCAGTGGGCTGACCAGATGCAGAGGGTAACAAGCTGCACATCCCTGAGCACAAAAATACGGAAATGTTGCAGTCTTAAAGAGGCCAAATAGCTTCAAGTCGAGGGTCATTTTTCAGACTACACTCGCAGTTGATAAATGATCACGAGCCCACAAGGTTTTCCAATCAAGTGGGGAGGAGGGAAAGGTACAATCCATGAAACGGACAGACAGAAGGAGAGCAGTTCTCAGCTCAAATGCAAGGATGGTGCCTGGCACTTTCCCTAAATACTGAGAATCAAGCCCTGCACACAGAATTAAACGCTACCCCACAGAACCAGATGGGTTTCATTTCAGCTAGAAAATCAACAGATAATTAACTTCGCCCACCACAGGGAGGAAAGGATGGCAGGATGCATGTTCCAAGTAATCAGATTACAGGAGCCTGATTTCCAAGAATGATGCTGACCAGGGCAACGTGACCTAGGAAGCTGTATCCCTATTTTCTGATTTTATATCCGCTGCTTCCTTACTGAGCCTTGATTTTGAAGGCTTAAGGGGCATTTGTACCTTATTAGACAAAATTTAACCAGATAGGTATTTAATCTACACAGTCGCCACACCAAAAGTAAGTTCTGCCATTGGTGTTTTCTGTTTCACAACTGATTCTGAAAGTTATTTGATTAGACATCTCAGAGTTCTATAAATATTAAAAGTGAAGGTATACAGTTTAAGCTTGGCCCCTTTTAGGCAAAATACACCTTAGACATTTTTGTAAAATTGAAGGATTGCCAACGTTAAAGAGCTGGGTGGGTAACGTCTTAGAATACACATCTCGTGATGAGGGGGGAGTTCCGAAGTGCCGTAGAAGGAAGGCTGGACTCCTAATCTAGGGACACGAGAATACTCTGCTAGTGGTTAACTGAGTGACCTAGGACAAATCACACAACTTCTCGGTGACCAGAGTCCTCATCTAGATAATGTGGGTCTCTTCCAAGGTTCTGCAAAAATACAAAGAGTCCCTCAGCACGTCTTGTCAGATACAGTTAATGGAGATGCCGAAAACCTAACCAAGGACTTTGAGTCTCCAATTGTGCTTTCTCCATCTCAAAAGTCAGCATGGAAATGAAGAGAAATGTCAAAGGCATGCACACACATACACACAAAGCATTATCCACGCAGAGAACTGTAACTTTGGCATCAACTTTTATAACGGGTTTGTTTGCAGCCAGAGAATTATAGAACTTTACATCTGGATGAGAACTTGGATGTCGCCTTGTCCAAAGTCCTTATTATAAGGATGAAGAGGTTGAGGAACCCTAACTCTCTCTATAACAGCAGGTTTGCTTCGCAGCCAAGCACAGCCTTTAACCTTCGGGACACGAAGAACAAACAGTTCTGTTCTGTGGGCTGCTAGCTGACCCGGCAGGAAAGCCTCCTACACTCTGCCACCCACAAGCCACTGCAGGATCCTCTCTGTGGGATCAGGGTCGGGAAGGAGGAAGCCCGGGAGGCTGACGTGAGGATCCCATATTTATCCAAAGCCTCTAGTTAGCCCTGAAATTCGAACAAAATTTGGGGGGGGTCCCCAAGAAGAGCCACTGATTGCTTCCCAACATGCAAACCCCAGAGGCTGTTTGGTCTTAGAAGCTCCGGGAACACTGTCTCCCCACACCCCGCCCCCCCAAGCTGTGAAGGGAAATTTGGTTTAAAAGCCAAGAAAACGAATAGGGAAATGTTTCTGTGCTCCAGGAAACAGGAAATCACTGTTTTGACAGCTCTCTACTTGAAAATTCAGAAGGACTCCTTACATCAACCCAGTATTACACCTGATGCTGCTCCGTGGAGCTATAGAATTTGACCCAAAATGCCTCTCCCGGGTGGAGCTGGACCCTCGTTCAACAGGCAGAGGCCACCAGGCACCCAACACGCATGGCGAGACCGTGACTCACGTCACAGCATCCAAGTGACTGTCAGCAGAGCACGGGGGACGCGTACCCATCTTCACTCCGGCTGTTTCAGGAGTGGCACGCTCAGCGCTGTCTGCTATCGGTTAGACCAACTCGGGGCTGCATTAGGTCTAAAAAGCCACGGATTGCAGGTGACAAGAGCCAACTTGGAACCCGCGCAGGAATCATGGCATCTTCGAGGATTAAGAATATTCCTGGGGGGCGGGGGGCAGGTGGAGGAGAAGTGAGGGTGTGTGTACGTGTGAGCATGTCTGAGTATGTGCCTGGGCTTCAGCACCCCCAAGGGCTCTCAGAAGACACAGAAGAGGCAGAGGCACAGCTTCCCTGAGGTCAGAGGTCAGAGGACAGAGGATGGAGGTGACCGAGGTCCCTGATGGATGCAGCAAGGGGACGTGGGAACCACAGATGTCACACCCGGACCGACACCCCAGGCGGCCACGACACCTCAGGGCTGCGGGGAAAGCCCACTGCAGCCTGAGCGGGACGGCCGGGGCAGCTCTGGGATAATGGGCCACGTGCGTGGGCTGCGGAGAAGCCCCCGCTTGCTACTAACACATCCACCTCGTAGATCGAGTAACGCTTGCTCTGCTCCTTTCCGGCTGCAACAGCACTGAACATGCAGCGTCCAGTAGACCCGGGGCCTGGCTCCTCGGGAGGACAGAGGCTGAAACGTGATGCCGTGTGTCCCGTGCCTTCTCTCTGCCCACCACACTCTCAGTGAGACGCACGTGGTCCTTCCAGGCTCGGGCATCTGGGACCCAAGATCACGAGAATACAATAGGAAACTGCCTTCTGTGTTGCTCTGTCCCCTTCACTGGTCCCTTCACTTTTCAAGACACCACGACCATTCGCATCACCAATGTTACAGGTCACATGATGCTTTAATGCAAGGTCATCCCATGGAGCATAAGCGTGAAGCCGCCTTTCAAGTGGCTTAATGTACCTTCGCAAAGTGGCGTGTACACCATGGAGCGGCATTCGGCCCATTAATAGTCATCAGCAGTAAAACTCATTGAAAATGTGGTCACCTACGCGACAAGCAAAAGCAAAGAGCGACAGTCTACCTTGCGGGGACGTTTTGAGAGAGTGATGAAAAAATAAACGTCAGAAGTTTTCCAGAAGAATGACCAAAAACCCTTACGGGGCAGCAGCTGAGCTCAGACCTGGGAGAGATGTGAGCTTCTGGTCCTGACTCTAGCTGCCAGAGCCCCGTGGTTAAGCCACCTAACTGCTCCGGGCCTTAGATGCCTGATCTGATGACATCAATTAGGTCACCTCTAGAAAGCCCACAGCCGTAAAGTTTTATAATCAGCAGAAAGCCCTCTACAAATATAAGCTATTATTATCAAATTAATAACCAACATCTTTGTTCTCACAGTTTCCATGGAAGGGTAAATAGAGAGGAAGAATTTATCTGCAAAGCTAAGAAGTGGTTTAGTATGTATTAAACCAGACACAAAACCAGAGGCTTCAAAATTCATCATCGCTATTCAGCATTTGTAACGCAGACGCTGAGAGCAATTATGGACAAAGCATCATCGGAGTTGACCTAAGGCAAATTACAAGAAGTGGCTAATTAGGGAGTCCAAACTGAGTTTGTTTTGTCTCTCTTAATATTTTTTTTAAGAAAAACATATTCTGCATATAATGCCGAAAACCCCTTTAAAAAGCATCACCGAGGCGGTCAGATAACTGTTCTGCCGTTGAATCTGGGGCCTGTTCACAGGAGATGCACTGTGGTTCCATTAACTGTGGAAAATGCCCTTCTCGGGAAATAGCAATTTTAGCACCAAAATGACTTGAAAGTTAGAAGGCATTTACTTACCACAGACTCTACTCATGGCCAAAATCATATCCTCGTACACTGAAAGGAAGAAGGAAACGTATCATTACGATGTCTAATTTTATCAGCAGCATTTTCATGTTTAATTAAATTGATACAGGAAATCAGGATGTTCATTTGAAAAATGAAACATTAAAATGGCGATAGTTAGCCATAAAAGGCTCATGTGTGGCGATAAATCCTTCTGATCTATTCACTTTTTAAACAAGGAATATTTTGCTCGACATAAATCCGACCATACATTTAATTGAACCTCTTCATCACTGTTTCGATCACTTTAATGCATTTGTCACAAGATAGAACTTGGCTCCTGAAGGTGAACTAAGACAGCATTTCATTGAAGCCCAGAGTAATATCATACCTTGTTCTAAAACACTCAAACAGCTTTGAATGCAACTCAAGTACAAATCTATTTTCTCTTCCTGTGTCCCCGCTAAAGAAACAATATGTACTAAGGATACAGATGCTGTGCCTTTATCACACAGTTCATCCTGCTGGCGAAGTGGATTTCCTTTTAGTAGAAGGAAGAAGGTTTTATTCTACCTTTGCCAGCTATCTCAAGGACAGACACATCTTGACCTCTCTCGTCTTTCAAGGTTGCCTTATATTCACCATGGTCCTTCTTTGACAACTGCAAATAAAACACATCCCATATGTACATAAAACTGACGCCATGATACAAAATGTAATACAGGCTGATACATTCTCTTTGCAAACCATGGAAATTTAGGAGGCAAACTGGGAGATAATGCAGAATTCACAGGTTGTTTGAGAGAACTTTCTTATCTTGTTTCTATCTCTTTTCTTTAACACAACGTACCTTTGGTAGGAACAGCTCACAGACCCCCTTCTCCAGATCAGGCAACTTTTCCGGTTCATACAGAGCATCATCCTTTAGCCATTTGAAAACGGTTTCCTTCTTGGTGTTCGCAACCTACAAGACAGGAATCTTACGTTGAGTATGTGAATCGCTGTGGCTCATGAGAAAAAAGTCTACTCTGACTTGAAATCACAGACCTAAAAAAAATCAATTTTTATTATGGACAGTCTCAGACAAATGCACATGGGAAAGCTGTCGGTTCTAATAATAGCAAATACATTTCTAAATTTCAGCTTCTCAAATAATTAAGCCCTGACAGTTCCATTCAGAAGAACAAATGATTCCTCTTTGTGCTAACCCATGAAATTAGACGGTGCAAGGTTTTTTGGTTCATGTGAGATATCAATAATAAAGGCAAGATGTAAGCAGTGTATTTTAAATTTATAAATAATATAAAATATCATTACTGGTCTATAAAACTGTTGAGTGACTGCTTTTTTGGCAACATGACACTGCGGACACACAGACGCAGGGGAAAGAAAGTTTAACACAAAACGAGCCCACTGGGCACGAGGACTTTCCTGCTATAAAATTCCTCGAAATTCAATCTCTGTCATAAGCCTGAACTCGAAACTCAGCTTTGCAGAATTCCAAAGATGAGTAAGCATCTCAAGTCACATGCTCTGACCTACACGTCCCACGAAGAAGAAGAATTCTGGCTCTGTTGGAGCGGAACGTACTGATCACATCGAATTGTGTGACACGGACCATTCTGCATTCACATCCCATACAGACTCAACAACAGAGATGTCAGCGACAAAAAACAAATTACAAACATTGAGAGCACGTGATTAGTTCCGAGAGTGTAGCAGTGCAACGTATTTTAGACTTCCCGTAGCAGCTACGTCAGCTGCTGTCGTTGGTGACAGCCCTGGGGGACAATCCCCAGATGGCAGGGCTCCGGAATGTTCTACTCGCACTTGCACACGGGGCACAGCAGCATGCCCGATATGGAGAATAATTCCATAAATGTTTCAGAGTAAGTGCAGGGCTGTCTCCCGCTGGTCTGGGAGCTAGGCTCTTCCTTCTGAAGCCAGGACCACGTGGTGACAGTCAGGATGGAGCGAAGCTAAACAATCCCAGCAGACGATGTCCTTTGTCCTAACACCTCAAAATCTCCCTTGTGTCCGTTTCCACGCCAAGCCAATCCCCGACTCTCCCCCACCTTAATTCAGCACTGCTGCCTCTTACTCTCATTTTCCAAGATACTTACACTGTCGGTCCTTGGGTGCTAAATAAAAACCTTTCCAATGACCTTCAGCCTCTGTTCTCTAAAACCTGTATCCTCAGTTACTTTATTTGTCCTGTAGCTCGGGGTGCGGGTGGCGGCGGGGAGGGGGGGTGTCTTTTGTCCCCAAATAACTCATTTGTCGCTTCTCTGAACTCTCTGCAATGTCTCTACCACTGTTTCTTTTTCTTTTCTTCCTTCCTTCCTTCCTTCCTTCCTCCCTCCCTCCCTCCCTCCCTCTCTCTCTTTCTTTTTGGCTGTGTTGGGTCTTTGTTGCTGCGCGAGGGCTTTCTCTAGTTGCGGTGAGCGGGGGCTACTCTTCGTTGTGGTGCGTGGGCTTCTCATTGTGGTGGCTTCTCTTGTTGCGGAGCACGGGCTCTAGGCACGCACGCTCAGTAGTTGTGGTTCACGGGCTCAGTAGTTGTGGTTCACGGGCTCAGTAGTTGTGGCACGCAGGCTTCAGTAGTTGTGGCCCACAGGCTTAGTTGCCCCGCGGCATGTAGGATCTTCTCGGACCAGGGCTCAAACCTGTGTCCCCTGCGTTGGCAGGCAGATTCCTAATCGCTGCGCCACCAGGGAAGTCCTCTACCACTTTTTCAATACGCGCACCTCACATGCACGTAAGTATCTAGGAAAAGGTCACAACAGTATCACTCCTGAGACACGGGGCCCTGCCCGACTCTCACGGTGTCTGAGTGTACCCTCCCCAAAGCTTAACTGGAGGTGTGTGAGAAATCTCTCTCCCAGATTTCCTTCCGTTCATGACTGAGGTTTCTCTTGCCTTAAACTTTTCTTTTAAAAGATGGTTTTCTGTAAAGTTATAATATGAATACGTCCACACATTGATTTTTCTCCATGTGTTTTGTTATGTAAGTAAATAGAACAATAACCACCTGCCAAAGTATTATTAGGCAGAAACCTATGTGGAAGAAGGGTTCACGGAATCCCAGGAGTGATGGGACATGAGTATGCAGGCTAGGTGGGTTAAATTGCAAAAGACTCACCTCTCAAGCAATAGTTATTCAGTTTCTCCAATATCTGTGTTTAAAGACTTATGACTCACTTTGATCAGGGAACTTAAAATATTATCAAATATTCACAGGAGGGCCTACACCATGTCAGAGCACATGGGGAGCCTATTTGTCCCACTGCCATTGTGAGCATGTACTCAGGACACCCTTGTCAGAAAAAAGGCCAACTGACCACAACATAGCCGCTGCCTTAATTGACATTTACCACCGTGTATGTTTAAGGTGTACAATGTACACAACTTGATACACGTATATATTGCAAAAATGGTTCCCACAGTGAGGTTAGTTAACACATCCTTCACCTCACATGGCTACCACTGTGTATGTGTGAGCGGTGAGAACACGCAAGGTCACTCTCTCAGCAACCTTCAAGTATATAATACAGTGTTATTCGCTCCAGTCACCACGCTGGGCATTAGACCCCAGAACTTACTCATTTCATAACTGGTAGTTTGTACCCTTTGACCAACATCTCCCCCACCCCTTAGCAACCACCACTTGTTTCTATGAGTTTGGCTTTTTTTAGATTCCACCTATAAGTGAAATCATGTCGTGTCTGTCTTTCTCTGTCTGACTTACTTCACTGAGCTTATTTCCCTCAAGATCCATCCATATTGTTACAAATGGCAGAATGTCCATCTTTTTTATGACTGAATAATATTCCTGTGTGTGTGTGTGTGTGTGTGTGTGTGTGACATCTTCTTTAGCCATTCATTCATCAGCAGACCCTTCGTTGTGTCTTCATCTTGGCCATTGTGAGCAATGCTGCTACGAACACATGGTGCAGGTGTCTCTCCACAACAGTGACATCACTTCCTTGAGATGGACTCCCAGAGGTGGGATCGCTGGATCGTATGGTAGCTCTATTTTTTTTTTTTTTTTTTTGGGGTATGGGGGCCTCTCCCTTTTGTGTTCTTTCCCGTTTCGGAGGCCAGGCTCCGGACGCGCAGGCTCAGCGGCCACGGCTCACAGGCCCAGCCGCTCCGCGGCATGTGGGATCCTCCCAGACCGGGGCACGAACCCGTGTCCCCTGCATTGGCAGGCGGACTCTCAACCACTGCGCCACCAGGGAAGCCCTGGTAGCTCTATTTTTAATCTTTTGAGAACCTCCGTACTGTTTTCCCACAGTGGCTGCACCGATTTACATTCCCACCAACAGTGCACGAGGGCTCCCTTTCCTCCACAGTTTTGTCAACATTTGTCATTTCCTGTCTTTTTGATGATGGCCATTCTGACAGGTGGCCTTCACCCTTGATTTGTCTTCTGTTTTCCTGCTCAGTGTCTAAACATGATTGAATGTCCCCATCCAGCCAGCGGGGAGAGAAGGACTTGACCCCCACGTCCACGACCCGCTGGGGCTCCCAGGGTGTGATGGGCTCAGCTCAGTCTTCACCCATCTTCCATCCCATCAGCCAGCGCCGTTCAGACTCCCAGCCCCCGGCCACCAGCCCACCCGGACAGGCGGCAGGCCCCGCGTCAGCCCTCGCCTCACTCAGGACGCCGCTGTGCGGTCTTCACTCCTTGAATTCCTCACCTTCCTCATTCCATGAAGCCACTTCTTGTTTCTCCTCTTACTTCTCTGAGGACTTCCCCTCGGTAATTCCCTTAAAAATCCTTCTCTCCTGTTCTACTCTGACAACATGATATTTTCCAAAATTCTCCAAGTTTCCGTTATCTTTCTGTCTCTAAAGGCTGACCTTCAGCAAACCTGACCCACGGGCGTCGTGCTCACCGCCACGCGTGTCCTGCTACCTCATAAGCCTCCACAGCAGAGCTTCAGCTTGCTGTGAGGGCCGGGCTCACGGTGCGCTGGTTATACCATATCGCCTGCGCTACAGGCGTAACCAACGAAGTTCTTGCAAAACTGAATTTATCCTCAAAATACTCAGACTTGGTCCTGCCCCTGCAGTGCCGGTTAGTATCACAGCACCACCTGGTCTCCAAGACAGAGACCTAAGATCGTCCAAGACACTGTCCTCGCTCACATCCAATTACTCACCGACTCCTGCCGGAACCGTAGCTCCCCAACAGTCTTCCAGTGTATCTCCTACTCTGTGCACGTGACCACTATGCTCGTCTGAGTTCCCATCTCTCATTGAGCCTCTTGGGCAGCCTCCCCTCCGGCCTTAAGAAACAGCCAGAGTCATCACGTTCCTGAAAACCCCAAAGGCAGGCTCCCCGCCGTCTGCAGACCAGAGTCCACCTCTGCCCTGCTGGATGCCCTCTGGTCCAGCCCCCAACTGTCTTACCAACCTTATGTATTTCTTATTGTGGTAAAATACAGATGACATAAAATTTACCATCTTCACCATTTTTAAGTATACAGTTCTGTGGCATTACGCACATTCACGTTGCTGTGTAACCATCACCACCGACCATCTCCAGAACTTTCTCGTCTTCCCAACCTGATACTCTGTCCCCATTAAACACTGACTCCCTACCCCCATCCTTCAGCCCCTGGCCCCCTCCATCCTACTCTCTATGAGTTTGACTGCTCTAGGGACCTCACGTAAGTGGAATCATACAGGGTCTGTCCTTTCGGGTCTGCCTTATTTCACCCAAGGATCATCCGTGTTGTAGCAGGTAACAGGATTTCCTTCCTTTTTAAAAGGCTGAATGACAGTCCGCGAATTTACCACATTTGTTTATCCATCCATCGATGGGCACTTGGGCCACCTCCACACTGGGTTATTGTGAATCGCGCGGCCACCATCATGGTGCACACGTATCTATCTGAGGCTGGATCGTATCGTAATTCCACCCATTACTTCTGAGGAGCTGCCATACTGCTCTCCACAGCGGCCGACTCATAATTCACCCTCTAACGCTGCGACTCCTAGTTTCCCACGCGGCTGTTTCACAGTTCAGCCTGTGGGAGCAGTTTCCACCCTCGTCGACCTGTATCCTTCTCAGTCATCCCCCCGCACTCAGCTCAGGACCACCCTCGCCGACCTGTATCCTTCTCAGTCATCCCCCCGCACTCAGCTCAGGACCACCCTCGCCGACCTGTATCCTTCTCAGTCATCCCCCTGCACTCAGCTCAGGATTCACCGCTTTGTTGACTTGTCTGCT